GTGGTGCTGGGGGATTGAACCGCGGTCCCTGTGCTTTGCTAAGCTTGTTCTAAGTAGGTGCTTTAGACCACTGAGCCATCTCACCAGCCCCTGCAGCTTGATTTCTGATATTCCATATTACATGGTTTATCAGGACATAACCCCTTCCTAAAGGGAGGCACATCTGCATACACAATTTGGGAAACTAGAAGTCCAGAGAAGGAAAATCCTTTTTTGGCACAGGCTTGGGATTAAAAACCAATTAGTTTTCTTCTATTCATGCAGAAAGTTGCTTAATTCTATTTTTACAGGGGATCAATTCCCTCATTTGTTAAACTTCAGGGAGTTTTTCTCAGGTGTATTACTTAAGGAGAAAGAGATTTAAAAGAATGTGACAAGTAAGAGCTATTAGAGTTCCTATTTAATATACAGAAAATAATCCTAGAAAATGAGATTAAGGTGCTCTGTTCATCAAGGTTGCGTACCTCAAATCACTCAGCTTTCCAATGTAACTTTTAACTATCTTTGGTTCTAAGACATTGTAAGTACTACAATTTTTCTTTTTCTTTTTGTTCTTAGAATTTACCTCCAATCCAATAAAAAATTTAGGTAGAAAATGGTAATGGTTCAAAAACAATATGTTAAAATTAAGAATTGAGCCAGATGTGGTGCACACCGACAATCCCAGCACTGGCAAGACTAAGGTTTGGAGGATTGCTGCAAGTTTGAGGCCAGCCTGGGCAAACAAAAATTCAAGGCCAGCCTGAACTACATAGTGAGACCCTGTCTCTCTACAAACAAAAAAATAGCAATTCACTTATGGAGACTTACATCATATTTTTACAATCCCTGGGCAAGTAGTACTACACATTAGCTACAGCTAGCTATAACTTTTGTTAGCTACAGTTGTTACATTGGTACAGTATGTGAAAGTGACCATTTTCTAAATTGGCAGAAGTTTCTGAAGATATAGTCACCAAGTTGAATTTACTCACATGCTATGTTTGTGCTATAGATATTCTACAACACTTCTTTTTGCCATGTTTAAATTTAAAAATAAGGTGGCTTTTTTTTTTCTTTCTTATTTTGAGATAGTTTCACCATGCTGCTCAGGCTGGCTTTGAACTCTTGGCATTAAGTGATCCTCCTGTCTCCATGTTGCACATAAATGGGACAACACATACCACCACGCCTGGTATATGGCTGCTTTTGAAATACAATGTAAAATATTTTTAACATAACCATACTTTACCTCGTAGTAGGAAAAGTTCCTAAATCCTGACTTATTTTAAAGACTAAATTGGGCTCAGGGAGATGGCTCAGTAGAATAAGCACTTCCTTGGCAAGCGCAAGGGCCTGAGTTCAATTCCTGGTTCCACCAAAAAAAAAAAAAAAAAAAAAAAAAAGACTAGAATTATTGAAATTGAAATTGAAAAGGAGATGCTAAAACATAAAAGAAAAAATTTACAAGTGACATCTTGAAGATTAATAAGATGCCTTATTTCTGAGTGTAAGAGCAGCTGCACTGGTCAGATCAGCGGAGAGGACCAGAACTGCTGTGACACCACTTGCTGGGGTACTTGCTGGGGCTGGGCTGGGCCCAAAGGGCAAATGGGTTCCACCTGAAGTTAAGATAAGCAAGCAGAAGAAACAGCAGTGTATTTATCTTATTTTTTAAAAGCCGGAATACTCATAACCAAAAAGTGACAGTTTGGCCAGGGCTTACATGTTCATATTTTTCTCTACAACTACATCTAGCTCCTACTGCCTGAAGACAGAGTCACGTAGAAAAAGGAAAAGATAAAAAAAAAAAGGAATATTAAAAAAAAAAAAGAAAGAAAGAAAGAAAAAGGAAAAGAGACAGATGCCCTGCAGGAATTAAATGATAACAAATTGAATATTAAATGCACAACAAGAATGAAGTCCTCTCAAACCTCAACCACATCTTTCAAGCCCTGTTTCTGAGAATAGAAAATTCTAAGCTCAATTTGAGTGTCACTCTAAATCCCTCCCTGTACCAGATGATTTTATCCACATATTTATATCCAAAGTACAAACAACTTAAAATGTTTACACTGAGTAGTAATGGAAGTCATGTGTCAATACAATGGGGGGCAAAGAATGAAGCTTTCTTCAGAACTGAAGCTTGAAGATACACAATATCTGTGGAAAATCTGGCTTACAAATGAAATACATTGTTTACCTATTCCATTTAATTATAGAGAACATGCATATTTTTACCCTTTGCATACAATTTTTGAACTCTCATTTTTTGGGTTTTGGTTTGTTTTTTGCTCTTAAGCAAGGCCTGAAGCTATGGAAGTCTCATAGCTCCACGTATGGAGTCTCTAGGAACATGGCCACACACAGTCCTGTGATTGGGAACCCTAAGTTCTTTGAGTTTTCACCCCCAGTGAGGGACAGTAACAAAAAAGCCTTCCACTAAGCCCCATAGCAGATGAGGAAAAACAGCCAAGAGTTCCTCCTTAGCCAACAGAGCAGCCTCAGACAACAGCAAAAGAGAAAGACAATACTGTACGGGAGGCCAGGGACAGACTTTGGTCTTTCTACAGAGCAAATCCTCTGAATTCAGTACCACTGAGTTCAGGCACATGGTGACAGCCTCTTCTCAGCTTCTAAGCACCACTGATTCAGGCACAACTATTTACAAGCCTGGGGAAATGGCATGCTTCACAGTTTTCGAGTTCTTTCTGAGTGGAATCCAGCCTCAGGTTATATAACCTCCGAGGCTGATAGGGTCAGAACAGTTGTGGCTGTTGATTTCTCCAATGTAACATGTTAGCATGTCTTAGAGGGCACAGCTGTAAATTCATCACTTATGTGAAGTGTAGCTCTTCTGTTCTGGGAGGCAAAACACCCACTGCTACACATGTTCGGCTCCTCAGTCTCCTGCACCCTTCGCAGGTGGGCCCAGGTGCAGTCTCTACGGACCATGAGTCTGCCCATCTTCACACCTGCCTGGGTAGGGTCCTAGGGACTGCACAGAGATCGCACTGGACATCCGCTGGAGGCCTCCAGACTTTCTGCTTTCTGTTTTCAAACTTAGAAGAGCTGGTTCAGTTTTACTTTTCCTCTGCATTTCCTGTCAGCTGATAAGAGAGCCCCTTTGTCTCATCTCAGGTAGGTCAGCTGTTGCAGAAAAGAGCCTCCAAACACACTTCTAAACACACATCCTAAGTTTCAAAGAAGCCGACCCTTCATACAGGCAATCTTTCATAAATACATTTTCAATGTGACTATATGGCTGTGTTAGCCAGGCCCACAAAGAACTCACTTGTTCTCATTATCCCAACCAGGCTGAAAATGTCCCAAACAAAAATGTTCCTACTACTATGAAAAGTGGCAAATCCGAGGAGAGAAAATAGACAAAAGCAAAGTAATCTGTAGAGTAAATTAAAAATAAAAGTGCACCTCTATGATCCCAGAACTCTGGGAGTTGAAGGCAGGAAGACAGCAAGTTGAACTCAGACTAGGAAACTAAATGAGATCATGTCTAAAAATAAGTAAACAAACAAACAAACAGTCTAAGGGTACAACTCAAATGCTCTGGGTTCAACTAGAAAAACCAACAACAAAGCTGGACAGACCCTCTCTATTTCATATCTATCTTGCATACTAAAATTTCACCTCCAAGTACATAAACCAATTTTGAACAGAACCTAATAAAAGCTAAAACAATCAATCAATAATATAATTTAAATCTTATTTTAGTTAGGAATCTTGCTGGGTACGGTATCACACACCTGTAATCTCAGCACTTGAGAGGCTGAGGCAGGAGGAGGATCACTGTGAGCTCAAGGCTAGTCAGTGCTACATCGTAAGATCCTGGCTACACACACACACACACACACACACACACACACACAATATCTTTGGCTGCTTGATTATTTGCATCACTCTCATGCCTTCAGAAAAAAACAGTAAGACACAGACCATTTAGTTCATATTATATTAAGTGAATAAACACATCTTACCTGTAGATACATTTCTAAACCTTGCCGCCGTTGTTCCAATACTTTTGGGACCCAGTTCCTGACATGCTTAGAAGGGATTTCTGGAGTTTTTATACATTTCTTAAGCTATAAATACACAAATAGAAAAAAAGAGATGTCTGTTAGTTATAATAGCATTGTTTCTAGGGAAAGACCAGAAGAAAATAAACCATTGTTAGTTTCAATTTTTGAAAAGTGAAATAGAATTATATAGAAATTTTGTCAAAAATTTTTTACTTAGGTGTCCTCACTGTTCAGATTTCAGGAAAAGGATTTTCTGTTTTGTAAGTCATTATTGATATTTTTGATTGAAACTATTTTTCCTGAAAAATTAAGTCTAGTAAATAAGGTTTAAAAATGGAACTTAGCTTAAAAATCAGTTTATTTTGTAAAAAGGAACACAATAAAATTTTGTTTGAAATGTTTTTCTGGTACGTTTTTTTACTTTTTTTTAACCTTAAAAAACATAATGGTTTATAACTCTAGAAATGTCATATTATCATTTGGAAAGTTTCTTGAAAATTTGTAATAGAACTAAGAAGCACAGAGGTCAATCTCTTCAACATTTGTATCAATTAGATTCAAATTCTTTTCAGAAACTGAATGTTGGTTTTCAGCTAAATCCTTCTGGACAGCACTTTTAAGGAATAATACACATACAGAGCTGTTTGAAGTAGGCAGAATGATCTCCTTCCACCAAAGATGACCAAATCCTAAACCTGCAAATGTTCACATGGTAAAAAATGATTTTGTGGATTTGGTTAAATCAGTGACCTTGAAATAGGAAGTTCATCAGCAGGCTCAAGGCCATTAGAAAGATCCTTAAAAGAGGGAGGCCACAGGTGCACACAACCTGTAGAAGCCAGAATGGATTCTGTGGTACGGCTGCCATAGGGCACATAGTCCTATCGACCACCCTCATTCTAGTGCAGTGAAACACACTTTAGAGTTTAGACGTCAAAAAATGCAAGAGTCACTTCTGGAGAGATGTGATGAAAGCAAATCAGCCTCTCAAGGTTGGAATCCAGACTCTGGAATATAACAACTGAGGAAAGAAAAGGAGGGAGGTGGATCTCTAGGATCCAAGAAGGATCTGAAGGAAGAACTGGAGTCCACAGAAAAAGCGAAGAGACAGATCTCAATGCAGAAAGAGGAGGGGGCAAACTGAACTTTCTTTCAGACTCCCAGCATGAGAGAGGAGGCTTGAATCTGCAGAGACACAGTGAGGGTGAGTGACACCATGGAGAAAGGCACCCTAGAAGTGAGCATTGGATGCTGTGGAGAGGGTGCTTAGCCAGGCACCATTTTAGGGAGTCGCCAACAGAACTTAGGACTCAGCAGCTGTGGGGTGGCTTCTGCTCAGCACTCTCAGTGACTGAATGAGGCACAACTGCTGGAGACATCAGGGGCAGGGGGCTGAGCTCAGGCTGGCAACAGACACCCAGTATATCACAGGCTGAACAACTCTGGCTCCAACCCCACAATCAGTGGCCAGTATCAGCCTGAACCCTTGTGGAATTGAAATCAACAGAATCGGAACCCAGTCCCACTCCTACCACAGCCGGTTGGATTACGCAGCACCCTGCCATAGTCCTATGCAGGCTTGCTGGGAAAATCCAGCAGAAATACGGGCTCTGCTAGCCTCCTTTCTCTACCATAACAGTGGAGACATGACCTGAAATGGATACTACCACAAGGCTGCAGACCCCAGAAGATAACCACAAGAACCTTTTTACTTTTTTTTTTTTTTTTTTCTTTTTGCATCTTTGTGAGTATAAACATTGTTTTTAGTTTTTCTGTTTTGTTTAGCACTTGTGGTTGCTTTTTCTTTCTCACCCTCTTGTGTTCTTCACCAATTTCCCAAAGCTTGAATAATCTTCCACTATCTTCTTTTTAATCTTTCTCTTCTTTTACTTCTCTATTTTTTTCTTATTCTTTTAAAATTTTCTTCCCTGAGGGTAAAAGAAGTCTACTGAGAATACTGTATATAATTTTCTGATTTTAGACTTCATTATATAACTGTAAATCCTATATTTATGGTTAAAGGTGGCAAATTAATTGTTACCACATTTTGTCATTTGGAGACTGTGCTTGATGCTATTGTTACTACAGATTATACTACTTTAGCTGAGGTGACAAATCTGTTGTGATCAGTTGTTCTTCCCTGCATGCCAATACCACAGTTAGGGGTCATAAACAATACCATGGTTCATTACCAAAAAGCTGGGTGCTGGGCCAAATAGGAAGCAGTTTCTCAACCTTAATAAATTTAAGAGGTAAGATCTTGGCATAGACTTAAAAGTCAAAAGCCAGTTAGCCCTTAGAAAACATCTTTTAAAAGTAGTCATTTCCTAACTCAGTCTTAATAAGAGTAATAAAGTTACTTATCATAAGCAGTTCACAAGCATCAAAACAGAAAACAAAATTTTTAAAAATAGAAAATGAGAACACATGCAAGCAAGATGCAAACCCAGAACTCAAGCTTGTCTAAGACACATCCATGAGGCATTAATATAGAAGAAATGAAACTCTATCCAGCTGAATTTCCTGAAATGGTAGCAGTGGAGGTAACAAACCAGATGAATGAAGCTCTAGAAAATAATAAATACAAATAATTTCACAGAAAACTAAAGAGATGATAACCATAATGAAACATATGGTGAATAAATCTAGAGTGTATACAGATATTTTTAAAAAAACAGATGAGCTTAGGAAAGTGATGGAGACCATGAATGCTCAACATAGGAAAGAACTGAATACCTTGAAATAGTTGAACAGATAGACAAAAAATTCTATTGAAGCCTAGAATTGTGGTGCAAACCTGTAATCTCAGCACTTAGAAGGCTGAGGCAGGAAGACTACCATGTGTTTGAGGCCAGTCTGGCCTATATAAGCAAAAATTCACACTGAACTACATAGCAAATCCCTATTTAAAAACAAAAACAAAACAAAACCAAAAAAACCAAAACAAAACACTGTACCAAAAGTATATGCAGCAGAATCAACCAATGTGAGGGCAGAATATTAGACCTAGAAGACAAGATTAAAGTTATTGATTGTTGGGGCTGGTGAGATGGCTCAGTGGTCTAAAGCACCTACTTAGAACAAGCTTAGCAAAGCA